TTTGGGAACCACTGATGTATGCCATTTTATGTTTGAGCTACTGCATGGCAAGTACAAAATATTTATGTCTGTTCTAGCCAGCTAAACATAGTCTTTTTAGAAATATGCAAATTCAAAGAAGTTAGATGCTGTTAAATGTAGTTTTTGTTAAAAAAACAAACAAAACAAAACAAAAAAAAACTGATGAATAAAAACATTTGTTTTATTTTCTTTGTACATCACAAGATGTGAGTTCTGTCATCCATAATCTCAATCAAAATTCAATTTAAGTGTCACTCTGGTTTTCCACAGCAGATCACTCGTTATCCAGCTGGTACATTCGTCCGTACAGACAGGCAGTGATCAGGCCTCCGCTCAGATTGGAGTGTTTCATGGCCACTCTCCCACCTGCAGCTTTCTCCAGCTTATCAGGTTGCTCGATTGCCATACGGTTCACTAGGACTGAAGGGTACACGTAATCTGTCTGGAAAGTTGCCTCCATCAAGAAGTCCATCTTAGACTCCGCCTCCTCCACTGTCTGCCCACATGAGCTGGCCTCCAGCCCCGCACAGCGGACTACTGCACATACCTGTATGGAAGAGAGGTAAATGCAGCTGGCCTTAAGGGTTAAATCATTTAGCAATTTATCTCAATAAGTATAACTCATATTCGATGGGTTAATTTTACGCAGAGTGACATTTTTCCAAAGCATAGATTTGTTGATCTTGATTTTTTTTTTTCCTACAGTAGAATTAAACCCAAAATTTTGATTCACTGCCACTCAGTTTCGTTTACTGAAAACCTCCATGAGGAGGTGGAAAGATTGCTGAATCTAAGTGTATCAGTAGAATGTTGAGTGGAATAAAAAACTATGCTTGAGAAGGTGGTCAAACAACAAGGATGAGTGTGGCCTTGGGAGGATTATGTTAACGGCTGCAGTTCTTGTTAGGCCATACCTAAACTCGAGTCAACGTTAAATGAGTCTTACCTGTACTAATAAGAATAAATACTGGCTTGTTATTCTGAGACACAAAGTCCTCAGTTGAATAGTAAAGTAAATTTAACATTCCATTTGAATCTCAATGTCCAAAAGGAATAAGATCTGTGTTGCCTGAAGTCTAATATCAATTTCTACAGTAATCACAATTTGGAGAGCCATGCCATCTGAGGGTACCGATCCACTGCTCTTTACCAAGTCCAAAGTCACTTCTCTCTGGAGATATCCTGGTGTAATTTTCCAGCAGCACTTTGCACCTGTCCACACTGCCTAAATTACCAATATCTACTTTAATAACCATGGTACGATTGTGTTTGATTACCCAGCAAGCTCCCCTGACCTAAACCTAAAAGCTAATGTGACCCTCTCTAAACCTTTGTCCTCTAACAAGAAGCTTAACAACAAAATTTACAGCAGATGTTTGATCCACAAATCGAGCAATTAAGGCCCATTTACTGCCCAATTAAAGGCAATGAAGGGAGAGTATTGGGACTGGGCCAATTCAGATAGAATTTGTGTTTAACCAGTTTTCTCCATCATGCTATTCACATTGAGACATCGTGGGACCAAGACAGCACCCAGAAACAGATCCGAGAGTACATTGCCAATGCAAGGCTTCAAACAGAATGTTCTCAGATATAAGTGGGTACTGAGATGAGAGAGAGTCACTGAGTGTAATCAACAAGTTGCAACAGAGATACTGGAAGAATCACAGACTGGCAAACGGATGTATATCCATTGGCCACATCACACAGACGACTGTTGTGAATCCTGTGGAACTGGGTGATGAATGCTACTCAACTCCTGGTACATCACATTGAGAAGAACTGATTGCCACCAAGTTATTGAGAAACTATTTTGTTGTGACATACCCAGTGCAGATGTTGATTTTTTTAATTCAATAAATTGAGATGAAGAAATCACCATTCCTTGCTTTTGCTTATATAACATAATGTTAAAGCATAAAGTTAATAAGATTTCTACTGAGTTCACCAAAAGCCCCAGTCTTTTTGTGAGGTGTGTGTGTGTATGTAATGATTCTACGTTTCCATACAAGGTTGTGATGATATTCTAATTCCTACCTGCAAGGCATATCGTCCATTAAAGGTGTGCGTTCCTGCAAATGCTCCCATTGCGTACAGTTCCTTCCCTTCGTCAAGGGCTGTCCACTTGTACTGAAGGTGGCAGCAGAATTTACCATCACACACTGTGAGATTGCCCTCTGCCTCCTTTATGAGGACAAATTTAAATGGGTCATGCATCATGGTTCCTATGAAGGTGGAGTAAGAGGAACCAGGTGAAGGAGGAGAAGGAGAATCAGCACAGCCATCTGTGTGGCAGTGATCAGACTCTGCAGCCACAGGTGACAATGATTCAGTCACATCGTTCACCCCAACTGGACCCAAGACTGGGACTGTGGCCACAAGCAGCTGACCCTCCTCTGGGTCTCCCTTCACGGCGTGGTGGAAGGTAGCAGAAAATGGGGTGTAGATACCACTTCCTGTCATAATGAGCTGGTCGTTACGAAGGTTTGAAGACAGAACCGTAACATTGGCCCCCAGACTGAGGGCTCTATGAAATTGGATTGAATCCAAAAGGGGGAGCTCGTTCATCCACGCTGTGGGGAAAATCAGCTGACGCACACCCTGGAAGAGAAGCAAAAAGATAAGAAAAGAGAGAGTTGGCTCAGTTAGACACGTCTGTGTGGATGAAGCTTCCTACCATTTTCACCAGGGCTACTGTGGGATCGTGGAACAGGATGTCAAAGCAGATGATGAGACCAAACTTCCCAGCAAAGGGTGTATCAAATGTGATCAGTTCAAGCTTTGGAGGCGTGTCAAAGGATTCTTCGAAAAAGAGGTTCTGTTTATGGTAACGTGCCACCAGCAGACCGTCAGAACTGTGTGAAAGGGAAAAATGACAGGTTTGCATTAACTTCCACAATGCATTTGTGTACTTGATCAGTTTTGTATTCAAGGTTTGCCCAGTACTTGAAAGCCACATTGGTGTTAAACTGCCAG